AGATAACGTCTGATACAATTCATTACCATCATCACAAAAATCATGACACCCATTGAATCACTCATCCATCACATCATATGTGTGTGCAGCTACACAATCAATTGAAAAGCTATAATTACTAATTAAAGGCTTCTCCAATCAGAAAGGTTATTCAGGGAAATATTATTACATACTCTTAAAGGTTACAAGTGTAAAGAATGGATGGAGACCACAGACCTTGTCCCTTCCTGCAACTCCAAACTGATCATAATCCAACAAGGCTTTGCATGTTCAGCTTCATTGGTTTTGTGTTTTGTCATGTGTGACAAGATGTGCTATGACACAAGTATGACAGGGACTACTGCAGCAGACCACTCAACTCCATCAGAGTTTTGAAAGAAAAAAAAAAAAAAAAGGCCAAATCCATTTGTACAAGAAAAATAAAGCAGGTAAAGAATTTTTTATCCAGATGCAGTCACTGCTCTAAATCAAGACTAATTACTGCAATGTACTATAGCATTTTTTGTCTTCATAGTCATAATTATCTTCAACTGAAAGAGTTCGATTTATTGTATGAATGTTGTTTTATTTATTGCTTATTTTCATAGTGTGTACTATTTTAGAGGCACCTACAGAAGTAGCACATCTATTCGATGTATTTTATAATTCAACAAGGAATTCCAATTCTAAACGTTTTAACTTAAGAAATATATGTTAAAATGGATTTTTATGCTTTGCTGTTTTCCCTGCCTACTGAGCAATAAACTTGAGACAGAACCTGTTGTAAATAGCAAACTTTTTGCGATGAATATGGTCTTAGGTCAAGTTGATCAAATGTGTAGCAACAGTGATAAACGCTGCTCAAGATAAATAAAAAAATAAAAAAATCATAGCTGGTCACATTTTGGTTCTGTATTGTTTCCTTTGGTGTTTTAAGAACTATTATTTTTTCTATGAATGTATCTGTGTGAAAACAGACGCTTCAGACACCCAAACTACGGACCCTTTCTCTCTTTTTTTCATTTTAACAATGCCATGCACTGACTTCCAGCAGTACAGAAAAACTTCTTTAAAGCATTTTGGCTCTAACACAGAACTTTCATCTCTTTCCAAAACAAAAATAAAAGAATTATCAATACACGAAGCAATACTACTGTTCAGCGTACAGACACTAGACTATTTCGCCTGCTTTTGAGAGTGTTTGTGAAACATTATGCGGTTTAATTTGCTTGGTAGTGCACTATGCATTTTTCAGAGCAGTGCTAAAATTCCAAAGAAAAAATGGGATACGAATGATCACCTTTTTGGATTGGTGTATCTGAGAGCAAAAATGCTAACTTGCTGTTCCATGTACTGTATCACCAATAATGAAAACTAATGGGACACAGATGGAAAACCTATCTGATTTCATTTACTATCCAAAGGAAACCCCATCCATTCCATCACTGTTCGGCAACTATGAAGAGGTTCAACATCCATGAACCATGCTTTCAGCTTTGCAATAACATGCTCTTTCCTTTGGTTGTTAGGTTACATGAAAGAGGTTACATCTTTCTGAAAGGTGCAGATGCTTATTGAGGGGACAGCTAGAAATGCAATTTGTTATATATACACTGATGTAAAAGAAATTCTGCATACCAAGTGGGAACAAAGAAAAAAATTTTGTCTTCTAATTTAGGAGTACCAATATAATTAATATGATTAGAAACCACAGCGAGAGATCCCTGAGAGTACTTTGATGGTGGGCGGGGGCAATCCTCAACAAGCTCCTCCTTACACAAAGGTAAAAACCATATGAGTTCAACGTTCCATTTCTGAGTCGGCTCATGTTGCAGCAATGGAATTGTGCAGAATATCATCACATTAAGTGACACCACAGTTCAACAGGTCATAATTGACTGCTGCCATCACAATCACCCTGAGGAAAAACTGGTGAAAAATTATGTCTCAGCCTGCATCACTGTCTGATCTCTATCCCACTGAGACACTGTGTGGCACAGAACAAAAGCTGGAGATATGACTCCGAACCATCAGCTTTTGCCAGCATTGTGCCAGTGATCACACAGCTCCACACATTCAGAGGCCCCATGAGGCATTAAGCAGTGGCTACCACCAGTGATCAACCAGGTTTCCGATGGGCTGCTGGGTAGCTACTGTAAATTGAGTTCATGTTTTCAAGAAACTTACTGTTTTGATCTCTTGAGTTGTTTTGTGTGTTTGTGCAAGTGTGTAGAGTAGACTTCCTTTGCCATCAGTATATATGCGGGCTTAAATTTCATGCTCCCATCTTTCTCCCTCTTTTACCTATTTATATCTTTCAAAATGTGAGAAAGACATGATATTGTTATCTTGTCATAACCAGACTATTTTAATCTCGACATTTGTTGTTTTCACCTTTGTGTTTTTTAGTCTGTTGAGTAATATTGCAAAATTTTAATTTTGATAGTCCAGTCAAGTTGGGCCAGAGCCCAAAGTTCACAAAATTATTAATTAATTATTGTTGTTAATGTGTATAAAATTGTAAAGAAATATGGTTTGTACATGTTTGAAAGAGCAAAAAAAGAGTGTAGGGATTTAAATTTTTAAGTTAAATGTGGGATAACATGGCCTAAGTAAGGCCATTTAACACGATGAATGTACCAGGTTTTAAAAAAAATTAATTTATAAAAAAAAAAAAAAAAAAAAAAAAAAAAAAAAAAA